TACAAATTTATTTTTAAAATAAGAGACTGTTTGCCAAAATCTTACTGATCATCATCTTTGGATAGCAGAATGAGAGCTGTATTTTCAACACTTTTTTCTTCTTTCTGATCTTTTTTCCTAGCATTTCTCCAATGACCATTGCATGCATTTATAAAAACAAATGGTAAACCATATTGATAAAAAGTAAAAAGTACAGGAAAACTCCAACAGTAATCTGGGAATCAGAAGCATCAAACTTGGAAGCAGTTAGATAGGACCACTGTGGAGAAGGCGAAGATGGAGAAAGAGGATTCTGAATTGTCTCAGCATAATTAGGAGCCCAAGACACTGAGATAGTGTGATCAATTTGTTCTGTAGTACAGTAATATTGTTACTTGTCAATGCTTTGATGGTTTTTTCTCTGACCATACACCTTTCTCCCTTGCAAAGACAATGCTTATTAACAGCATTTTTTCCTTCATCACTGAATTAACGTCTTCATAGGAAGCAAACCAGACAAGAGCTTTCACAGAAGAATACAAGAAAAAATATAAGTTGTATAATTTTCCCTGGATTCTTCTGAGGCATTAGCAATGAATGAACCAACATTCACAAACTGACTGTAACACCATATTAAACTCAGATATCCCTGGGGCTTTGGACATTTGAAAGCCTTGAGCAGTTTTAAATAGAAATAAACTCTGGCTTAAAAAAAAAAATCAACCCAATATAAGGATATTGTATCCAGGACTTTTACTTTGGATGACTCAGAAGAATCTGGGTATCACAAACAATAGAAAGATAACAGGAAGAAATACTTATTTTCTTAGAGTAATTGATTGATCTAAGACTTGGTGGTGAAAAAAATCACCCAAGAAAATGGGAAGCGTAGCATTCTAACGCACTGAAGTCTTGCTGCCTTCTGAGCGACAGATACGACATCTCAACATTATATTTAATTCTTAAATATCTGCAAAGATGGTAAGATGCTGAGAGCATGATAATTTGCAGAAAAAGTATAAAGCATCACATTCAAAGAAAAGCATCACTTTGAAAAGGCACAGACAGGAATACATTTTCTTCATGTCTGCACTTTATCTAAGTGCTTCTATAAATTGGTCATTGTGATTTTTGGTTACTGTTAATCTATATATTAGTTTAAATCTACATCTTTATCCTTGACCTCTAATCCCTTCTCCTGTTTCATTTTTCTCACTATCTACGGGACAATTACTTGGGCACTTTCTCTCTCTCTGAATCTATTATCACCCCTTCCTAGTATGGTCTTTGCCAACTATCCTCATTACCACTTATCCTTGAGGTTGTCTGCTGTTTGTTAATAGTCTAGCATTGTCTTTCTGACATGAGAAAAGAATCAACTGTGTCTCAGTCATCTGTCCAAAATGCAATTGCATGGAATATGGGAAGCAACTCCTTGTGCAGTGTTCCATGCCTTAAGGACAAGCCAAGTTTGATTTTAAAATGACCTATTAATATCACTACTTAGGAACAGAGTTTTAATGTAAAATCTTTCAGAAAAATCTTTACTACAGCAAAAGGAATATGTAACTTCAGCTTTCTTATAGATTTTAATGGATTTTTAATCTACTGATGGTAGTCTGTAAATTCGAGCTCAAAGGAAACACAAATGCAACTCAATGGGAAGTTTTATTGGATTGCTTACAGAGAATTATGGTTATGATCAAAAGCCAGGAGTGAACAAAGGCTGAATGCTTCTCCCCTTTTTCAAGTGATTTGAATCCTTCATTTCTTCCTTTGCACTTCCTAAGGTAGAATTTAAATGAATAAGGCAAAAAGCCTGAGACAGGTAGCATGAAGATGAAGCAAGAAAGCACAGTCTGGGGAATTCTCTGGTGGTACAGAGCTTAGGACGCAGCACTTTCACTGCCTTGGTCTGGGTTCAAAACCTGGTCAGGAACTAAGATCCCACAAGCTGCATTCCATGGCTAAAAATAAATTGAAAAAACTGCTTTAGAAAGTAAAGTTTCGGGAAACTCACACATGATAAAGAGCTCTCAGAATAATCAATATTTTGAGAAATATATAGTCAAGGACTGTTAACAACTCATCCAATGTATTTTGTTCTTTGTAATAGCAAATGCATCTATTACATATAGACTGTGTGGAGAAACAAGATCAGTCCACTAATATATATTTATTTTAAAGAGAAAAATGAAAATACCATTTTGAAAACAATGAGTGAAAATTTTATAAATAGGAAGACATTTGAACTGGGCCTTGAATGCTGGTTAATAGCTCACTAAACATCAAATGAATAAATATTTTAATAACGAAAACCAAAAGTGATTTGCTGAAAATGATATTCCATTAACTTCAATAATATTGCATGAGTTATATTCCACAGAAAACATTATCTACAAGGACAGAAAACCTAGAGGGAATGCCTACCCTAAGTCGAGTACACCATAGCCCATCCTGCTTTTGCTGCAATAACGTTTCCCCATACATGTCTCAGCTTCCTCTTACTCACTGACAGTCATTGGAAATTAGCTCAGTAGACAGGGCTTTGAGATGGCTGTGAACTTAAACTCCAATAGTACAGACATTCAGTATCCAAGGTCTCTCCCTGACTTCTAATTGCTGAAATATATGATGAGAGCATAATAAACAGGAACATGCCTGTTGTCAAATACTTCAAAGGCCTAAGAGCCTGAGATCTCTCCATATTAAATAAAACTGTATTTGTTTTCTAAATTCTTAAGTTTGAAACACTACGGAAATTACTTTTTGTAAGACAGCGCTTTTTCACATTCATGTAATCACCAATATTCAGAATACATACACTTCTTTGCGGTGCTGTTGAGAGGTGACTTCAAGTATTCTCTAATACTGTACCAACTATGAGTATAGTGCAAAATGAGTGTGTAGTTTTTCTAAGCGAGGACACCAAGTAAGCACAAGTGTCCTCAAGTCTCGCCTAGGAGAGTCTCACCTAGGAGTTTCACGAAGTCTCACTTAATATCCAATTCTCCCTCAATGGAAGCCTGGTATTGCCTTCAGATAAGGTCTTGGTCTTTGAGAAAAGCAGAGTATCAAAACCTACAATTCTTTATTATTAAATAGCTGCTCTTTTTTAGTCTACATTTCTAGTTCTTACCATTCTTTCACTTCTCAAGTCCTACTGTATTTCTTTTTCAATGATACTATATACTATTTTCTGCCTATGAAAACTTTGTGTAGAGAATTTTATGTATATGTACTTTGTAAAAAATCTTTATGTTTATATGCTTTATTTATGAACTTGCTAGAGGAAACACTGATTGAAACCGCTCAACCTAGCCAGGCACCATAGTAACTACTCGCAAGAGTTATTTTACAACAGGAAGTCCTGGTAAGGAACATGGAACTAACAAGCCACCACCAACCTGAAAAGTTCAGCAAAGGTCAAAAGGAGACACCACATGTCCTACTACCTCCCAGGATCCTCCTCACAGGATCCCACTTGGCTGAGAAACACATGTACCACCAGGAAAGATTCTGAGTCAGAATGATGGGCCAGAGACAACCCAGAAACTAATCCTTTCACCATAAAACCCAAGACTGCAAGTCACGTAACAGAGCAGTCCCCCTGGGTTCCCTTACTCTCCTGCTCTACACTTGGGCACCCCTTCCCAATAAAGTCTCTCGCTTTGTCAGCACGTATGTCTCCTTTGAAAATTCACTTCCAAGTGTTAGACAAGAGCCCACTTTTGGGCCATGGAAGGGGCCCCCCTTTCTGCAACAAAATCAAGACATTGCCCAAATATTAAGACATACTGAGAAAGATTGAGAGCAAGAGGAGAAGGGAAAAACAGAGGATGAGATAGTTGAAAGGCATCACAATGGACATGAGCTTGAGTAAACTCCAGGAGATGGTGAAGGACAGGGAAGACTTGTGTGCTGCAGTCCATGGGATCACGAAGAGTTGGAGACCACTTATAAACTGAACAATTGAGACAAGTTTCTACTATTGGGACACATTCCAAACATTCAGTATATCAACTGGCAGATATCTTAAAGCGCTTAACAATAAGAAAAGGAAGTCTTCTACTTGTAATAGAACAACACATATGTTAATTCAAAGGCAAAACTTTAAACAATGATACAATTACCATGCAAATATCTGTTTGTTTGTTTTCAGGTAGGCAATGAGAAAAAATTTAAAGTTCCATGTGTTATTCAACTGTCCTGGTCACAAAGTCATGCTTCGTTTAGAAATAAAGATTAGCATTTTTAGAGGATAGTGTGACCAAAGAAATCAATATTGAAAATGCCAAAGTAAACCTCAATCTCAGGAAACTAAGCAGAATTCCTATACTGGGATAGAACCCACTAAAGAAAGGAGATTCGTTTTTCTTTCCAAACACCAGGACATCATTTGTGGACACATGCATGTACATAGATAAAAGGAGGACACAGGCATTACTTAAGCACTGACTCATAACATTCTATGAGGAGAAAGATGTCAGATGCAAAAAAAATCCTGCTCTGAAGACAAGAGTTCTTAAAAACCCGTATGGAGTCTCCTCCTGTGCAGACCCTCTCTGATAGCTCTTTTCCTCTATAATGAGAATGTGGCAAGATGGCAAATAGGTGGCTTAGTCTCTCAGGGGATTTTTTCAAATTACTGTGGCTCCTTCAAGCCCCAGTGACAATCAGTGTCTGTGACATCATGTGCTATACCATATGTCTTTATGATTCAGGTTGTCTCTGAAGCCACTGTTGGCAACAACTGACTCAGGTAAGCTCTGTATTTCATCCAGGATTTGAGGACACCCCAATATTTTATGCATCACCAAGAAAAAATTTATGAGTCAATTAAATTAAGATAAGTCATAGATTTAAGGGGCTTCCCAGGTGGTAAGGTGGTAAAGAATCCGCCTACCAATGCAGGAGATGCGAGTTCGATCCTAGGGTTGGGAAGATCCCCTGGAAAAGGAAATGGTAATGCATTTCAGTATTCTTGCCTGGGAAATCCCATGGACAGAGGAGCTTAACTGGCTATGGTCCAGGGGTCACAAAGAGCTGGACACAACTGAGCATCTGAGCACGCACACAGAAATTTAAGATTCATCACAGTATTATATGTTTAAAAAGTGCTACAATGTGTCTTAAACTAATGAATTTTTATGCAATTTTTGTACAATGATTACAGAAACTTCAAGAGAAAAAAAGGGAAAAGGTAATTGATGGCTGAGGGAAAACAGAAGAAAATAAGGTAGTAATAAACTTTTAGTTTGAGATAAAAGTGAAGAAAAGAGTGAAGAGAATCAGAGTCATGTTCTCAAATTGATGTAAGTTCTCTCTTCTCCTGCCCAGTGTGAATGTGGGAGTGAGATAGGAGCTAGCTGATAAGAGATTTTAGAGCAGGAAAGCCAAAGAGAGTGATACTGATAGGAGTTACTTCACTCTCTGGTCCCCAACCAGGCAGACCTCAAGGTCTGAGTTGCCACAATCCTGCTTTTTAGCACAGTTTTGTAAACTTAATGTTTGTGTTTGTTTCCTTACTGAATCCACACTTAGCTTCCATGATCTCTGTCATCAGGTTCTTTATCTTGTTGAAAATACAGTCTCCTGGGATTGACTGCTACCTCTGTCAAGGGTCTCTGATACAGCCAGCTTATCATTTTGATCATTCCTAATATGTATTGATGGAGTTACCTGTCATGACAGGACACCCTTATCTCCAGGACTGCACTGCCCACAGCCAGTTTGACAAGATTTTTTCCTACCCTGAGGTCACTGATGCTTCACAGGTATGAGCTTCCCCATATTGCTAAGATCTGCTCCAATCACCTACTCCTTGTGGCTCCAGATACTCTCAGATTAACTGGGCCTGGCAAAGAAGGATTATAGTCTTTCATTTATTTATCTTACATGATTTAGATATGGTAAAAAGATGAATGAGAAAATAAAACAATCTAGTATTGGGAAAAGAACACTAGAGAGGCTATAACAGAAGAGAATCGCTCTACCACACAGAACCCAGAATAGCTTCAATCTCAAACTAAGATTCCAGAAAATCTATGAAGAGTAATTTCTAATTGAGGATTATATGTAGAGTCAATATGATGAAAGATAAAACATTAGTGAGGTTCTACTGTATAGCTCAAGGAACTATATTCAATATCCTATGAAAAACCATAATGGAAAAGAATATGAAATATATATATATATATATATATCTGAGCTACTTTGCTATATAGAAGAAATTAATACAACAGTGTAAATCAACTACACTTCAACAATATTTTAAAATATAAATAATATTAGTGAGGAAAGTACTATATTATAGATTAGCGTTTACTTCAAAAGGAAATGTGTTTTTTTTCCATTTGATTAAAACTGTTTCTGTAGGTAGGTCAAAATATTACAATCATGCCTATTCACAATGAAAAAAACTGAGACAAGTTAAGGAACTTACCCATTTGGAAATCATAGACTTTGTAAGAGCCAGCATTAAAAAACAGCTCTTTTGACACATGAGCTTATGCTTTTTCTACTATATAATGCTGTTGGCAGGATAAGTTTGAGACTAATGGATGAAATTTATGCTTGGTCTAGAACTAAATTACTCTGAATTTTGTTTTATCATTTCCTTGTTGAATAAATAAAATAACAACAAAACCAGGAAAAAAAAAAAGAAAATGCTTTCAACCCAATAGGAATATAATAGGATAAATACTTGATACAGTGTTTTTTGGACCAAATAAAGTATCTTCAAGAGTAATACATCAAATGCAGTTCTTTTATTATGGATGGCATCCAATAAATGTTGATTTGATAGAATTTTATCTTCCTGTAGATTACAAAAAAAATGATCATGAGTGAAATATCTAATTCAAAACATGGCCATCAAAATTATGACATATCAAAATATTGCTCTTAAAATCAGAGACATATCCTTCTGCCTTACAAATCCAAATTTAACAAGCTTATCAATGGGAGAAAAAGATTGACATTTAACATGGAAACGAACCATGTCATTCTTGGACTCAAATGAAACTTTACCAGTTTTTAATTCTAAGTGAACTAACACTTCTCATGTTCTCTTGTGATTCCCTCCTCAAACCCAGCAAGTGACATTCATCTTCTCTGCCTTCTGGACTTTTCCTCCAAGATAAAGGAGGTACACTGGGACAATATCTCAAAGAGCAGACCGTATCTGTCAGAAAATCTGTTGATCCTCACATCATTATTCCTTTCTTTTGTTCCTTTATACGTGTCTCTTCAAATATGAAACTAAAACCATGTAAAAAGGATGGAACATAAACCATTAAGGCAGGCTAAAACCATGTGCATCTAACAAAACTCTTCAGTTCAATTACTGTACAGCCTAAGGAAGACTAAAAGCACACAGGGCTTAAAACCAACGAGAGATCCACCCCCCAAAACTACAGCCCCATATCTGCAAGCAAAAACAACAATAAAACCCCAAACAAACAAATAAACAAAAACAGAACCTGCGGGAAGACACTGGAAGGCGGAATGCAATTACCGGATTTGGAAACTAACCAGGACACCGTGGTTAAAACCCTTTCTGCTACTAAGGTTCCGAGGAATCTTTAATGACTACAAAATGGTTAGGACTTCACGTCCACACCTCATCTGAAAGATGATGACAGCCAGCGGTTAGTCCTCCCTGCCACCACCCAGGGACCAGAGTCAATTCTGACTCAGAAAATAAAGGGCCACCTACAGAAATCACTAGCAACATTCGCTATCCTTGGCTGCCTTTGCTAACTGACCTACGTGAAACAAACTATTTAAGTATCTCAAATGTCACTGCCATATTCTAATTAAAATACACAGTGGTATCATTCCTCATCTCTGTGTAGATTTATGAATTAGTGCTATGCACACTCCTTGGGTAAAAACTGTTAAGTCCTACTCCTCGGCTAATTCTGAGTAATGAGTATGGACCTATCAAGGAGGCTTTAGATGACTACTGTTTATACTCTATGTATGCTTACTATCACACTACTTTATTTTTTCCTCATATTTTTTAAGAAACTGACTCAAGTGCAGTAATTAAAATACATTACAGTAGTGCAAGTGAAATTTGGAGCACTGCCAACATTTTCAAGAACTTATAATTTTCTTGCTCAGAGGAAAAAAAGTAGTTTTGACATCTTTGTGCAAAACAGTCACTAACAGTTACTTACAATTTCAGGAAAATCACTGTTTTAATCATGACCTTTCAGCTGTCCTTGATTGAAAAAAAATTGGCTACCTACAGAAATAATTCTGTTGGGCCTCCATCTCTCTTCTGATTGATGGCCTCATGTGGTTCTACATGTTCACAATTACAAATAAAACTATATAAAACTGGCAGAGCTTAGCTTCCATCTAAGTAGATAAGAATAAAGTATTTCTAATTGACAATTATGGGGACATTCTTTAAGTGACATCTTTCCCATGTACCTGTATCAGAATCAAATAGTACATTTCTCTCTGATTAAATGTGTATTCTTTTGGTCGCCATTCACTACAACCACTAATTTAGCAACCATTGTGTAAAAGACATTGTATTATACTCTGTTGGGGGTGATAGGATGTGGATAAAACAGTTTCTGCATTAGAGAACCTATTATCTGAAGAAACCCTCAACAGACTAACTACTGTGTAATAAATATGGACACTATACATATACAGAGGAGCCTGGAGTGCCATGAGGTCGCAAAGAGTCAGACACAACTGAGCGACTAAGCACATTTTCATAGCACATACATATATATGTGGAGATGTCTGCTTTCATATACAAATATACAGATAAAAATCCAGTTTGGTTAAATATACTTACATAAAAAATATACTTCAGGGACAACAGATCAATATATATTTGCTGCTATTTAGTCATTAAGATATTAGAAGTCCCTAAGTTGTGGTCCTCTCACATGCTAACAAAGTAATGCTCAAAATTCTCCAAGCCAGGTTTCAACAGTACATGAACCATGAACTTCCAGATGTTCAAGCTGGATTTATAAAAGGCAGAGGAACCAGAGATCAAATTGCAACATCTGTTGGATCATCAAAAAAGCAGGAGAGTTCCAGAAAAACATCTACTCCTGCCATATTAACTATGCCAAAGCCCTTGACTGTGTGGATCACAGCAAACTGTGGAAAATTCTGAAAGAGATGAGAATATCAGACCACCTGACCTGTCTCTTGAGAAATCTGTATGCAGGTCAGGAAGCAACAGTTAGAACTGGACATGGGACAACAGACTGGTTCCAAATAGGAANGGCATCACCGACTCAAAGGACATGAGTTTGGGTAAACTCCGGGAGTTGGTGATGGACAGGGAGGCCTGGTGTGCTGCAGTCCATGGGATCACAAAGAGTCTGACACAACTGAGCGACTGAACTGAAGTGTTAGTTCACGAATTTTTCAATGGAAATTAAAACAAAGACATCCTGCTAGTAAAAGGTTGTTCATACATCTACCTTATAAGCAACAAAACTAGAGCTGGCATTCAGGACCCCATTAGAATTTTATTGTAGCTCTGTGAGGTTGGAAAGGTTTTAGGAGTTCAGTATTAGTCAATATGCCAAAAAAAAAGACTTGAAAATATTTTCTCTCTGTATTCAATTTCTATGAGTAATCCTCAATTTACAACCTTATGCCCAACCCAGAAATTGAATTAATCAATACAATTATCTTCTTACACATCCCTTCTGTTAACTATAGGAGTTGATAGACTAGAAAAAAAATTTAGATTCCTTAGGTAGTAGATGTGATTGCAAGATTTAACTGTATTGAAAGGCTGGCTTTAGAAATGGCCATGATATAGTCTTTAATATTATGTTTTGGACAATTATAAGAATTAAGTGATCCTTATCTCTAAAACACAAATCAATTATCTACTAGCTGCAACTTAAAATAAATTGCTTTATGGAAAACAACACTAAAATATGTATGTGGTCAGGTCATGAATACTGAATATTATGTGAAATTCTACACTAAAATAGTCATCTTTTCAAAAATAAGTAAATTCATATTTCTGGAAATAACCAACTTGTTCATAAATACCAAATCTTAAAAATCCAGCTCACTTCCTGTTGCCGAAAAATTCTTAGAAATGGTCTAAAGTCATGATTTTAACATATAAACTAAGAGGAGCTAACAATTATTCAGTTAATTTAGGCCCATTTAATACTTTCACATGAAATAGTAAAATAAATAGAGCAAAAGATTTTATACTAATTAGCTTTATCATACATATTTACTTTGTATATATAAGAATCATAGGCAAATTTATCATTAAGAAAGTAAAGAGAAGATGCAATATACCTGCCCATTTAAAATTAAGAACAGTTAATCAGGATGAGAGAAGGTTATACACCTAAATGATCCTAACTGCTTAACTCTCTAGTTTATATTCACAGTTCCCCAAATTTCTTCTTATGGAGCTAAACCAAATTTGATGAGAATATATACAATTGATTTCAATGTTAAAAGTCTATAAATTTTTGCTTAAAAAGAATTCAGTTACCCAACTTAGGAAACACTGATGTTAGGTATTTATTAAGAATAAACCCAAAACCCTCAGGAAATATCTGGAGTGAATGTAGCCAAACTAATTGTTTACATATTTTTCATACTTAAAGCCACTGATAAGTGTTTATTTGGTTTGTCCCAGCTTTGTACTACTTACTTTGAAGCACATGGTTCTTATATATAAAGTATTTAGAGATCAATTTCTTATCACAATAGTTTATATTAACCCCATTCACAATGATATAATAAACCAATTCTCTATACTACAGATTGTAAAAACAGAATTGCATGGCATATTAGCACTGAGCTAGTCAGAATTCCTGTGAATTATCATTGTATTGCAATATATTTTACTGACATAAACTACAAAAAATCCTTTATTTTCTAAAGGGAGAAACTGAGGTAGCAGAGAAAACACTAGTAAATTTTTGTCAAAGAAAGATGGATCAGATTAAAAAAATATCCACACTACAATTTACTGTAGTTTTCAACCAAATACTCTCTTACAACTTAAATGTCAACCTCTTGTTTTTATTCAAATGTTGGGATAAATGAAAAAGTAGGTTCGTGGGATTATAGTCTCATAAATTCGAAAGCATACTACTTCCTGCATATAATACTCTGACTAGCAATTTTTTTTTCATCATGGTACATGATGGAACATATACAACTCAGAATGGTCTATTCTACAGGAAAACATTTCTATCCCTATAACGAGTCATTTGTCAATTAGCATTTTGGAAGATGGAGGCAAGGTTTAATCACTTGACAGTTTCTCTAAACTTGGGTAACGTTGCCTCAGTTCCCCATTTCCAGACCAGTTTAATATCTCCTTATAAGCAGGTGTGTGCTAAATATGTGCTGAAGATTCTATAGAAATATATCCCATCAGAAGATGGATATCTTTCCATTCAAGAGACATACATTTGTGTGTGTGTGTGTGTGTGTGTGTGTGTGTTTAAAAAAGCATAACCATGTAGGAGTCCTGAGGAAACAAAGAAATTGCTGGTTTGAAAAGAAACAAAGAAAATGTGGTTTATTTTAAATAATAAAGAAAGAAAAATTTGGTTTAAATAATTAAAGCACTTCCTGTTCCTATTCTTACGCTATAGGAAAATGCAACATGTCAGAGAGATAGAGAAGTATGGCGGAGAACTCTAACTGACCATCCAATATGCCTTCCCAGTAATCAAGTAGAACAGTTAAATGCATAAATAGAACCCTACTAAAAGCACTCAGATATAAGTAGAACTTGGGGGACGATTCAGTGAAAATCCTTTAGAAGGGGACAGCTCTGACTGTTTTGGCCGCTTTGCTCTTTGCTGTTTGTGCTTTTCCTATGTCCTGTCTTGATGTGAGATAGAGCTACACTGCTAAAGCCATACCTGGTCTCTTGTGATCTTCAGAATGAGGATGCAGCCTAAGTGTGGTGGAAGAGAAAACTAGAGGGAGTCCGGATCCCTCAAAGGATGGTGAAGCAGCTTGCACTGGATCTGATCCTCTTGTATGGTTAAAGAAAAATTATCTTGTTCAAACTACCATCACTCAGGTCTCTGTTACTTGAAACGGAATACAATTCCTAAGCGATAGAGACTCAGAATTTGGTGGCATATAAAATCCTATGGTGCCCACGTATGTGCTTCAGGGTTGCCTGCTCTCTTATTTTGCATCAACTTGCTCATCTGTAAAATAAGGATAATAGCGATACCTTTCCCAAAGGGCTGCTCTGATAATTAAGCAACATAATCTATCTGACACCATAAATCAAGATCTAAGTGTTTAATGATTATTATTCATTATTATTAATTGTATCAGGCTGCCACCCTAGAAGGGGGCAGCTCATTCATGATTGAAAAGGAGGCAAAAGTCAGCCAACAGGATATGGTAGACAGGGACCCCAGATATTTTACCAAAATGACTATCCAACACGGGGAAAGAACAGTGTTAAAGAGAAAGGAAGGGACAGAGAGAGAGCGAAGAGTGATGGTTTGAATTTTTGGAATTTGGGACTTCCCTGATGATCCAGTAATTAAGAAACCACCCTGCAATGCAGGGGACGTGAGTTCAATCCCTGGTCTGGGAACTGAGATCCCATATGATGCAGAACAACTAAGCCCATGTGCCGAACTACTGAGCCCACGTGCCGCAACTACTGAGCCCACGCTCCACAACTAGAGTCCATGCTCCACAAGAAAGACCCTGTGTATCACAGCTAAGATGCAACACAGTCAAATAAATCAATAATATGTATCAGTCGTGTCTGACTCTTTGTAACCCTATGGATTGCTGCCTGCCAGGCTCTTCTGCCCATGGAATTCTC